AATGACACTGTGATGTCTCGCTACAGACAAATATTAAAACATAGGGAAAAACAAGTCTCTATGGAAAGGTTCTTAGAGAGAAAAACAAGCAGTGAGCCACAACCAGGTCCTAGTGGTATGCAGGCAAAACATAGGAGAGAGAGTACCCCAGAGAAGTCATCACTGCCTGATGTTATAATGGAAGGGACTTCCCTTCCAAACAGTAACACCTCTCCTCCTTCCCCCCTCCCTCCTCACTGTCTTTCATACGCCAACAAGTCATCAATAAAGGTAAGCTACAACTTGTACATACAGTACTATAGTACAAAATGTGTGTGTATTATGGATGAAATGTATTTTGAAGTTAATATTTTTAGGAGTGTGGAACGGATTAAATAAATTTAGATTTCTTATGGAAAAATTCTTTTTGAGTTACAAATTTTCAAATTATAATCCATCTCTGGGAATGGATTAAATTCATAAATGGAGGTAGCACTGTATGACTTTTCTAAAAGCAACTTTCATAAAGTATTGTACATCAAAACTGAGCCTAACAAGTGCCATACCTTTTGGAGAAGTCTGATGCAGTCAATGCCTGTAACCTTCAAGATACTATATTTACATAGATTAATTAGATTTTTCTGAATTTATCCAAGGGCCACTAACACTAGTGGCCTCGACGAGGACAGGAAGCTGGCGGCTTGTTAAAGGTTTCCCCATCTGTCCTGATGATTTTTTTCCAGCTGGATTTTTAAGTTCAACAGAGTTTTGGCATTTACAGCTTTGGCAGGTAGGCAGTTCCATGGGTTTATAACTCTGTGGGGTGAAAAAGCATCTCCTGTTTTCAGTCCTACATTGTGGCTTCTTAAGGTTGAAACTGTTATTCCTTGTTTGTGTTACATCTGACCTTTTGAAGAAGTTGTCTGTAACAACATCCTCCAAATTGTTCAGTACAGTATTTTGAACACTTCGATGAGATCAGCCCTATCATGTCTGGTTTGCAGTGTTGTTAGCCCTATGGCCCTCAACCTTTCCTGGTATGAAAGTTGACTTAGTTCTGGAATTATTTTGTTGCTTGGTGTTGAGCTTTTCCCAATGAAGCAATGTTTTTCTGAAGAGGTCTCCATGCCTGAATGCAATAATACAGGTAGGGACACAGTAGAGATTTATACAATTGAATAACTACCTTCTTTTCCTTAAGTTTGGTTAGGTTTTTTTTACTGCCGCTCCTACTTAAAGAGTATAGGATGATTGTGCAGCCAATTATCAACATGTACTCCCAAGAAAATAGACAGCCACAGTGAGGAACACCATCTTAAGATATTCAGTAAATCTTAGGTCCCTTTCACAAATCTGAAGAAGGAATGTGCTTATATCTTCTCTATTCCATGTAGCAATGCCCACATACAGTATTTTGAACACTTCGATGAGATCAGCCCTATCATGTCTGGTTTGCAGTGTTGTTAGCCCTATGGCCCTCAACCTTTCCTGGTATGAAAGTTGACTTAGTTCTGGAATTATTTTGTTGCTTGGTGTTGAGCTTTTCCCAATGAAGCAATGTTTTTCTGAAGAGGTCTCCATGCCTGAATGCAATAATACAGGTAGGGACACAGTAGAGATTTATACAATTGAATAACTACCTTCTTTTCCTTAAAGCCAAAAGTACGCTTGATTATTCATAAGGTTTGGTTAGGTTTTTTTTACTGCCGCTCCTACTTAAAGAGTATAGGATGATTGTGCAGCCAATTATCAACATGTACTCCCAAGAAAATAGACAGCCACAGTGAGGAACACCATCTTAAGATATTCAGTAAATCTTAGGTCCCTTTCACAAATCTGAAGAAGGAATGTGCTTATATCTTCTCTATTCCATGTAGCAATGCCCACACAGAACGAGTTTTTTCAATAATGACCTCAGATTGGAGAAACGAGAGAAACCGTCTGCAAGTGGACTTGCTCAAAGCAGAGCACCAAATCTATAACAACTTCTCAGAAGTGTCCAGCCATGTACAGTACCAATATTCCTGGCCAACAGAAAACTCTTGGAGATGACAAGTAAAAGACAGGAATACTGTCCAAGATAAAGACATCCATGTTAAGTAGGCTACTTCATTTAATTTGTAAACTTAATTTGGTTAGCATATGCTGTTCCTGCAAAAGTAAAATTGAGTATTCATTTCATCCAATTCTTTATTTTTGCTGAATGAATCCATGTATGTAATATATATACAGTAGGTTTTAAAAATTCATTTCAGAAAAATAATAAAATAGCATTCATCAAATTACTGTATAGTGATATTTGACAAATAAATTCTGCTAAGCATATTTTCTACAGCTTTTTATATACTTCAAATCATACAACATATTTGATTTAGGGTAAATCTTCAGGCCTAAGACTTCAGTAATTAATTTGCCAAGTACTTTCTGTGTCATCCTTTTTGGAAATTTAGAAATAGCCACCCTAATGATAATTACCAAGATTCTATTAGAAAGAGATGGTTCGGTTGATTGCATTTATATTGACCTAAAAAAAGGCAAAAACAGAGTCCCACATAAGAGGTTGTTCTGCAAACTGGAACACTTTGGAGGAGTGACAGGTAGGCTTCTAACATGGATGACAAATTTTCTTGTCCAAACTTGTCCCACTTTTATGAAGTGGGCCACAGGAAGCCATTTACCAACTATCATGCTTTAGTTATATACAGTATATTTATTTTTTTTATTTTTTATTTTTTTGGTAGGTTCTCTTGTGACATTAAATATTCCGTGTCCAATTTATTTACTTCCCTGTTTTTTTTTTGTCTGTGTTTTTTCTTTCAGAGAATTCCTTTGTACTTAGAGAAATTGTTGTTTTGATTGATTTTCTTTTATGTCATAGATTTTCCTTTTTATTCTCTGTATACTCTTACAAAAAATATGACTACTATTCTAGTAGTCACATTTTTTTTCTCTGAAGGGAGGAGGAGTGTTACGACCCTGGGTTCCTCAATTGGAAACCAGAGGTCAAATTGAGCTAAATAAACTACCTTATATTTGACACGCTTGCCGACGTGTATCTGTTCGTATCTTCCTTGCCAAACGTAGGACGAATCTTGTTGCTCACAAAGCATTCAGACTCTTGAGCTTGTTGTGGATTAAGTATAACATTGTAGTAATTATTAACTATCCTTAGAACGAGTAAAGTAAACAATATTGTACATCGGTGAAGATTTTTAATGTGTATAGCTGCACGACCAATTAGGCTCTTCCCGGCACCACAACAACTTGGGAGCCCTGGACAGGACGCTGGATGCGGCCTTCTCTGTGCTGGCGCTGTGGTGGAAAGAACCTCCTCTCCTCCTTCCTACTACTCTTCCTTACCTATTTCTGTGTCTAGTAAACTAAGTTAAGTAATTGTGTGTATATTTGTGCCTACTCTGGGATTGTAAGATTGGTGTAGACCTGGGGTAGTATTTGCCAGTGTTTTGGGTACCCCCTAGTGTTGTGTTGTGTTAGGGTACCACGTGGTCTCACTACCCTAAGCTGCCTCAAGCTTCACGTTCTTCACTAGTAGTACTTTACTCTAGCTTGTTCTCAGTGTAAACCTTGTATCCTGCTTATGTGGACCAAGGCTTTTAACGTAGTGTGGTAAAGTAATTATTATTATTGTTATTGGTGTGAATGTATATGGGGGGTTGTTAAGGGGTTAATAAATAAGTAAGTTAGTTTTAAAGGAGTATCCATTCTTCCTGTGTAGGAGATCTATGATCTACCTCTAGACTGACACTGTCTTGTAGCCAATTAATATTCACTGTTGATATTTTTATTTGGGGGCCGGGCCTTTTAGATCTCCCATACTTGATACCTCTTAATGCTAACTACTGACCCTACTCCATAATAACACTAGATCCCACATAGTACGCACCCACTATTTCTAACAGCAGTAATCAGAGGCAATGTATCAGACTGGAGAAACGTCACAAGTGGAGTACCACAGGGATCAGTTCTTGCACCGGTAATGTTCATTGTCTACATAAACGATCTACCAGATAGAATACAGAATTATATAAACATGTTTGCTGATGATGCTAAGATAAAAGGAAGGATAAGACACTTAGATGATTGTCATGCCCTTCAAGAAGACCTGTACAAAATAAGTATATGGCGCACCACTTGGCAAATGGAATTTAATGTAAATAAATGCCATGTTGTGGAATGTGGAATAGGTGAACATAGACCCCACACAACCTATAAATTATGTGAGAAATCCTTAAAGAATTCTGATAAAGAAAGAGATCTATGGGTGGTTCTAGATAGAAAACCATCTGCTGAGGACCACATAAAGAACATTGTGCGAGGAACCTATGCCATGCTTTCTAACTTCAGAATTGCTTTTAAATACATGGATGGCAAAATACTAAAGAAATTGTTCACGACTTTTGTTAGGCCAAAGCTAGAATATGCAGCAGTTGTGTGGTGCCCATATCTTAAGAAGCACTTCAACAAACTGGAAAAGGTGCAAAGACATGCTACTAAGTGGCTCCCAGAACTGAAGGGCAAGAGCTATGAAGAGAGGATAGAGGCATTAAATATGCCAAAACTAGAAGAAAGAAGAAAAAGAGGCGATATGATCACTACGTACAAAATAGTAACAGGAATCGATAAAATCGACAGGGGAAGATTTTTCGAGACCTGGAACTTCAAGAACAAGAGGTCATAGATTTAAATTAATTAAACAAAGATGCAGTAGAAATATATGAAAATTCACTTTCGCAAACAGAGTGATAGACGGTTGGAACAAATTAAGTGAGAAGGTGGTGGAGGCCAAAACCGTCAGTAGTTTCAAAGCGTTATATGACAGTGCTGGGTGGACGGGACACCACGAGCATAGCTCTCATCCTTTAACTACACTTCGGTAATTACACAGCCTGTCCCCCAACAAAATGAATTAGGTAACTGACGGTTAGTAAGGCTGGGTCCAAGAGCTAACAGCTTGATCCTGCAGAAGCAAAGACAAAAGACAATGAAGATACAGTACTCACAGTACCCATTTCCATGTTTCACTCCAAGTGCATTCAATAAGAGTCTGAAAATAAAACATGTATACAAATATGAATATAACTGAACAGGGCTGAAATGCAATACATAATATAATAATTAAAGGTAATTTTTAATACAAAATGTAAATTTATATGAAACTTATTATAATAACATGGGTAAATATACTAATATTTTCTTCATTAAACACTGTCACCATTTCTCATATCAGACATAGACAAGGACACAAACTACAGTACTGTATCATCCTTTGCAAATGATGCCAGGATTTTTATGAGAGTAGACAACATAGAGTACACGGCAAACCTCCAATCAGATATAAATCAGGTTTTTCTATGGGCCACAGAAAATAATATGGTATTTAATGAAGACAAGTTTCAACTCCTGCACTATGGACAAAAATTAAAATATATAAATGGAAACCACAAAAAAGTGCAAATCATACCACAACTGCAAGAAAAATGACAGGCTGGATAACAAGACTCTTTCAACAAAGAGATGCTGTACCAATGATGATACTCTTCAAGATGCTAGTGCTCTCTAGAGTGGAGTACTGCTGCACAATGACAGCCCCTTTCAAAGCTGGAGAAGTTGCTCACCTGGAGATCGTGCAGAGATCCTTTACTGCTAGAATCCACTCGATAAAACATCTAAACTATTGCGGCAGACTAAAGTGCCTAAATCTGTATTCTCTTGAGCGCAGGCGGGAGAGATACATAATAATTTACACGTGGAAAATAGTAGAGGGGCTGGTCCCAAACCTACACACGGAAATAACATCACATGAGACCAGAAGGCATGGCAGGATTAATTACCTGTCAAATTGGTATAAAAATGCTTAGGCTAGCTCATCCTAACCCTTGCACAGAAACCCTCCAGAATTTCTTCTTCATCACTTACTTCAACAAAATCTACTACTTACTTCAACAAAAGCTTGTAGCTCTGAGGCAAAGTGAAATTAACACGAGTAACTCATCTATCATCATACTATTATGCAAGAGGAGCCACACATCTATGGTTCATCCAATAAAATCAGCAGACTTGTAGATGTAACTACTGTACTGCTCGGCTTAGACTCGGTTACAAGTATCCCTGGGAATTCTCATTATTTGGTGTTGTAGACCTTCATATAAAATTATCTGCTGCCAGAAATCTTAGTTAAATATCTCCAGTTTACTAACTGTAAAGTGATTGTAACCTATCCACCGCTGCCTACTGGATGGTGGTGTGCAGGACAAACATATCAATTGTGACACTAGCTCTCCACATCTGTCAGTTGCTTAATTTTAAAACTGTACTTGTTGTCGATCTCGAACCCATTTATGATGTGACGACATATATTGAATTTTGTAACCAGCTCATCAAGATTGTAACTTAACTAAATGAATTGTGGGGTTCAGTCCCCGAGCCCATTATGTGCCTCTGGAACCCTTTCCACAACTGTCCACAAGATGGGTATGAGGTGCATAATAAATAAATAAATAAATAAATAAATAAATAAATAAATAAATAAATAAATAAATAAATTTTTATTCAGGAAAAATACATACATAGTTGATTTACAAACATAATATTGGATTTAAAGATAGAGCTAGTAGACACAATACCTAAAGCCACTAATACACATAGCGTTTTGGGCAAGGTGTGGGGGGAAAAATACTTTGACTAAAACTTAATAGTAATTGGAATTAGGTATAAATTGTGTTGAAAAAAGGAATAAAAAATAAAAAAGGGGGAACATGGCAGAAATCAGCAATTGTACAAGTTAGTGAACAAACAACATTGTTTAACAATAGCTAGACATGGGTTGACATTTAGGGGGGTAAGGTAGGTTACATGGAGTTAATTAAGTAGCACTTGGTTTTACTCTTAAATTGGTTGAGAGAAGTACAGCCTTTGACATGATTGGGAAGGTCATTCCTGCAACCCGTTCTCGCAAATTTAATAAGTCAATATTGACTTATTAAATATGTGCATAGGTGACATAACATAATAGATACCCTTAAAAAGATTCATAGAAAACACCGACCTTACCTAACCTTGTTAATATCTTAAGATAAGCATCTTAGTGCTTCGTAATTACAATTATTACCTAACCTATAATAGGTATAGGTTAAGTAATAATTGTAATTACGAAGCAATAAGATGCTTATCTTAAAATACTAACAAGGTTAGGTAAGGTCGGTGTTTTCTATGAATCTTTTTAAGGGTATCTATTATGTTTAGTATATCACCTATGCACGTACTGTAGTTAATAAGTCAATATTGACTTTACGAATTTGCGAGAACGGGTTGTGCCGCCACTCGGGTGTTTTTTTTTTTTTTTTTTTTTTTTTGAGATACTGTATATACAAGAGTTGTTACATTCTTGTACAGCCACTAGTACGCGTAGCGTTTCGGGCAAGTCCTTAATCCTATGGTCCCTGGAATACGATCCCCTGCAGCGAAGAATCGTTTTTTCATCCAAGTACACATTTTACTGTTGCGTTAAACAGAGGCTACAGTTAAGGAATTGCGCCAAGTAAATCCTCCCCGGCCAGGATACGAACCCATGACATAGCGCTCGCGGAACGCCAGGCGAGTGTCTTACCACTACACCACGGAGACTACTGTTGTGGTAGTGGCCAGTCTGGTGGTCAATTCTGACCTTAGAAGCTTCCTAGAAGGCTGTAACAGAACTCATGGGCATCACACTAGAAACAAATACCTATTTGATATTCCAAGAGTGCGACTTAACCAAACTAGAAATGCTCTACAAATCAAGGTGTCCACAATAAGGATTGCAACCCGTTCTCGCAAATTCGTAAAGTCAATATTGACTTATTAACTATGTGCATATGTGATATACTAAACATAATAGATACCCTTAAAAAGATTCATAGAAAACACCGACCTTACCTAACCTTGTTAGTATTTTAAGATAAGCATCTTATTGCTTCGTAATTACAATTATTACTTAACCTATACCTATTATAGGTTAGGTAATACAGTAATTGTAATTACGAAGCACTAAGATGCTTATCTTAAGATATTAACAAGGTTAGGTAAGGTCGGTGTTTTCTATGAATTTTTTTAAGGGTATCTATTATGTTAAGTATGTCACCTATGCACATATTTAATAAGTCAATATTGACTTATTAAATATGTGCATAGGTGACATACTTAACATAATAGATACCCTTAAAAAATTCATAGAAAACACCGACCTTACCTAACCTTGTTAATATCTTAAGATAAGCATCTTAGTGCTTCGTAATTACAATTATTACCTAACCTATAATAGGTATAGGTTAAGTAATAATTGTAATTACGAAGCAATAAGATGCTTATCTTAAAATACTAACAAGGTTAGGTAAGGTCGGTGTTTTCTATGAATCTTTTTAAGGGTATCTATTATGTTTAGTATATCACATATGCACGTAGTTAATAAGTCAATATTGACTTTACGAATTTGCGAGAACGGGTTGACTGGTGACCCTCACCACCACCAGACTGGCCACTACCACAACACACCTGAGTGGCGGCACCACTGGTGACCCTCACCACCACCAGACTGGCCACTACCACAACACACCTGGGTTGAAGACTACCTCACAGGAAGGAAAGCCAAGGTTTGCTTCAATGGAGCAGTCTCCAGAACAATGAGTATGGAACTCGGGACCCCCCAAGGCGGAGTCTTAAGCCCTACACTATTCAATGTACTTATGAACGCCATTGCAAATATTGATTTTCCGGAAGGAACACAACAAGTGGGATATGCAGATGATGTCCTAATACAAGCTCCCACCTTGGGAAAAATTGAACAGTCCATTGAACTCCTCGGAAGGAAATGTATTGAGCTCGGTTTCACTCTCTCCACAAACAAGACGAAGGCATACTCCCATCACAAGCGGAGAGCAAATGAAGAACTGCAAATTAATGGTGTAACACTTGAATGGGTTGACCACTACCGGTACCTTGGCGTCACTGTCGGCTCTAACAAGGGAAAGAAAGAGGAGCTCAATCAACTCATAGGAACATGCAAAAGTCGACTCAGGGCACTGAAAGCTATGACCTGGAATGGACATGGAGCCTCTATTGCCGTGCTCAAAATGATGTACACAGCCTATGTGCGCTCCGTCATAGACTATGCCGCACCAGTACTGTGCACCTACTCCCAAACCGATATGAAAAGGCTTGAAAGCATTCAAAATGAAGCCATGACAATCATTCTTGGAGTCCCAAGAACTCCCAAAACGTCTAATCTACGAGAGGAGTTGTCCCTTCCCAGTATTAAAAGCAGAATTCAGGAGCTGAATGCTAAGCTTGCAATTAGGATAGCCAGAGATCCCCATTACAATGATATTGCCAAGAAAAAACTGAGCTCTGTGCTACTTTCAGGGGGAAACAGGAGAAGCAAAAAATGGCATCACAGAGCAGTCTGCTACCTTGAAGAGCTTCACCTGCTTGAGCAAGCCCGTGAGCTCCTGCCTGTAGAGAGGTTACCTCCCTGGGAGGATGACTCATGTAAGATCATCATCAATGAAATGGCAATGAAAAAATCCAACATGATACCACAAGAAATGAGGCACAAGTATCTCGAGGACATTTATAAAGAAGCCGGAGATGAACTAGATCAAATCTACACTGACGGGTCATCTAATCCTATCAATGGCAGGGCTGGTGCAGCATACACGGTAATCAAGGATAATACCTTCCAACGCAGAAATGAAGAAAAAGCACGTATTGAGAACTATGCCTCTTCAACGCAAGCAGAGCTAACTGCCATTGTTATGGCGTTAAGGTTTCTTGAACGGAACATTAATGGTGCAGTGATTTGCACCGATTCAAAAGCAGCACTGCAAAGCCTAAGTAAAAATCAGGCAGAAAATCTTGCAATAGTCGCTGAAATCAAGAGAGCTGTGAGAGTACTTACCAATCAGGGAAGAGTCATCAAGTTTCTGTGGATCCCCTCCCATGTTGGAATATGTGGGAATGAACGAGCAGATGTGCTGGCTGCTGAAGGCGCTGAAGGAGACCATATTGAATACTTCATACCCAAGACTCAACTACAAATTAGAGGTATTATCAGGCAACATCACCGTGACAAGGTAACTGAGGAAAGGAGGATAGAAGCACAAACCAGTGAATCTGTACGATGGTACAACATGGTTGCAGCTGGCAATCCCAATCAGTATGGCCGAAGAGGAGGACGACGAGTGAGAGAATCTGTAATAGCGAGAATCCGTCTTGGATACAAATATCCATGGAGATTTGGAATGGAAACAACAGTTGATCAGCGAAGTTGCAGAATCTGTGGTGAGAGTGATGGACACCGCCTTGACCACTATCTACGTGAATGTGAACACCTGAGAGACATTAGGAATAACTGTAGAATAATAAACCCCACATTGTTTGAGTTAGGAAAACACTATTTGTCAAATATTGATACTGTTCTTAAAAGATTTCCCCATTTTGCACCCGCAAGATAACGTAAGCTTTTAAGGGTTGATAAATGTTAATCTTCTTGTTTGAGGAGCTGTTCACTTGAGACAGTTAAGCAAGTCCCAGCTGTGTCTGGGTACAAGTGACAGGATGAACAACCCAGCGGGTTTTCTTCCTATTGGGGAGTGTTGTACATTCTGCTATGGCGGTATGTTCACTCACAAGATGAGTGGCGCTGCCCAATAAACTCGCCCCTCGGGGCAAAATTTAAAAAATTTAAATTTAACACACCTGAGTGGCGGCACCACTGGTGACCCTCACCACCACCAGACTGGCCACTACCACAACACACCTGAGTGGCCGCACCACTGGTGACCCTCACCCCCACCAGACTGGCCACTACCACAACACACCTGAGTGGCGGCACCACTGGTGACCCTCACCCCCACCAGACTGGCCACTACCACAACACACCTGAGTGGCCGCACCACTGGTGACCCTCACCCCCACCAGACTGGTCACTACCACAACACACCTGAGTGGCGGCACCACTGGTGACCCTCACCCCCACCAGACTGGTCACTACCACAACACACCTGAGTGGCGGCACCACTGGTGACCCTCACCACCACCAGACTGGTCACTACCACAACACACCTGAGTGGCGGCACCACTGGTGACCCTCACCCCCACCAGACTGGCCACTACCACAACACACCTGAGTGGCGGCACCACTGGTGACCCTCACCCCCACCAGACTGGTCACTACCACCACAACACACCTGAGTGGCGGCACCACTGGTGACCCTCACCCCCACCAGACTGGTCACTACCACAACACACCTGAGTGGCGGCACCACTGGTGACCCTCACCACCACCAGACTGGTCACTACTACACTCATCACCTCACGGTACTCAACACTCATCACCTCACGGTACTCAACACTCATCACCTCACGGTACTCAACACTCATCACCTCATGGTACTCAACACTCATCACTCACACATTAACATTTCGGACACAAAGTGAAGACGTTTCGTATATGTTTTGGTTAACATTAACACCTCAGTATAATGATATTCATTTGTTAAATCTTCTACTCTTACTAAATGAAGTTGAGTGATGTGATGGACGTAACTTGATATGAACGACGCCAGCCATCGTTAACACTACACATTATTGATTTTTGTTCATTTATTGATTTATTTATTTATCAGAACGGTACTCACCTAGTTGTGCTTGCGTGGGTTGAGTTCTGGCTCTCAACTGTCAATCAACTGGTGTACAGGTTCCTGAGCCTATTGGGCTCTATCATATCTACATTATAAACTGTGTATGGAGTCAGCCTCCACCACATGACTGCCTAATGCATTCCACCTGTTAACTACTCCCACACTGAACAAGGTCTTTCTAACGTCCCTGTGGCTCATGTGGGTACTCCACCTGTGTCCCCTTGTGCAGCCCGTCCTCCAAACAAAGATCCAAAAGTGATTCCATGCAACCGCCAAACCCCCTGTTTATGAATGAAAAGCGGTTTACACACGACTTACAACTGCTGACGTTCGAACATATCCGGAACAATTAAGTGCTTCACTGACGAATTTTGTTCGAATCACAACGGTATAAATGCTTCACCCACGTACTATTGCACTACTACTGCACGTAGAATAGTGCAGTAGAGTAATACAATAGAGTAGTGCAGTAGAGTAGTGTAGTAGAGTAGTACAGTAGAGTAGTGCAGTAGAGTAGTGCAGTAGAGCAGTGCAGTAGAGTAGTACAGTAGAGCAGTGCAATAGAGTAGTACAGTAGAGTAGTACAGTAGTGCAGTGCAATAGAGTAGTACAGTAGAGTAGTACAGTAGAGCAGTGCAGTAGAGCAGTGCAGTAGAGCAGTGCAGTAGAGTAGTACAGTAGAGCAGTGCAATAGAGTAGTACAGTAGAGTAGTACAGTAGAGCAGTGCAATAGAGTAGTACAGTAGAGTAGTACAGTAGAGTAGTACAGTAGAGTAGTACAGTAGAGCAGTGCAGTAGAGCAGTGCAGTAGAGCAGTGCAGTAGAGTAGTACAGTAGTGTAACACCCAGGACCTCCCCCCCCCCCTTAGAGTTCACACCCAGGGAAGCCTTCTCCAAGAGGTCAGCCCAGATGACCTCCGGTTTATCTTGTATATTGACTAAAAATTCCTGGGTTAGTCTTAGTCAGCATAGTTTCAAGTATGTAATATTTCAGGAAAGGGCATTAGACTCCAGATTCTTATGTGTAAACATCCCTGGATCTCCCCCTTTTGGCCAGGTCAGAGGTCAGTCACATATGTAATTAATAACTCCTCTCTTGAAGAGTGTATGGTGAAT